GTTTTGAAGATGAGTTGCCCTGGTTGATTGGTGGTGTCGCGAGTTGGCTGACATCGAGGCGTCCTTCTTGAAGGTCTCTTGCAAGACGTCGGCAAGTGGATGCCCAATGTCCTTTGATCTTGCAGTAGTTGCATTCCGATCCTTTATTGGCCATTTGACTGCTAGTCGGTTGGGTCCCTTTGAATGCGAGTGCATTCGCCAAAGCCTTATTGCCGAAGGTGGAAGACTTAGGGTGATCGGGTTTGGCAGGTCTTCGCGTATTACCCCCAGCTTGTGTCAATCGGTTGACAAGGATTGGGTTGTCTGATGTGCCGGTGTGCAACTCGCCTTCTACCTGTGTGATCTGTTGGCAGACTTTGTCCAGGGTAGGTGTGGTCGCGGACGTGTTGAGTTGATGGTTGAGATTGTTCCGGAAAGAATTCTCGTCGATATCGACGGGTGGTTTAACGACGGATTGTAGCATTAGTCCAAATAATTCCTCAGTTGAGATCTTCTTTTGTTTGATCTCGAAATATAGCCGTTGGAATTGGGATATTAGCTCGTCATTTGACGCTTGACGTTCGGAGTGGTAGAAGTCGTTGAGTTGGGATATTAACTCGAGTTTGACCTGTCGGTCGTTGCGTTTGCAGCTTGCTTCGAGTTTTTCGAAAATATCCTTGGGTTTCCGAGTTGAAACAACCGTCGCTAGGAGGTTCTGGTCAAGGGTTGACCGTAGGAGTATGACGATGGATGGTTCTTGTTCACCATCGATCATCAACCAGTTCGTAGCTTTTGAAAGGAAGTCTTCACGTCGGAAAACGAATTCGAGCGTAGTATTGATTTGTTGCTCCCAAGCCGTATAGTTTTTACCGCCGAATTTCAAGTATTCGACATTCGCGTGGATTGAGCGATGAAGGGACATCGGATCCTTCATGAAATGTTTTTGATTGAACGAATATTGATTGTTTTCGGTGTTTCGAGGGGTCTCCTCCCGCTTGAACATGTGTGGTGGTTGTTCACGAGATGCTGTGATCGATTCAGTTAATGCATTCACGGCTTTGATTACGCCGTCGAGTTTGAGGTCGAGTTTAAGGACTTTGTGGTCGATGCGACAAATTTCGTTCCGAGTCTCATGATTACCCGATTGGATGGACGGAATTTGACATTGAGTCTTTGAGTTTTGAGATTTGTCGTCGTCATTCCCTGGGCGATTGAC